ATTACTATCAGTTGATGTTATCCGACTTGCTTTGGAATGCTCTTCATTTTGGACTGAGAATAGCAATTCAGTTCTTCGGAAGATTCAGAGCAAGCCTTTGGGTGGATTTTTAAAACACCAACCCCTCCCCAAAAAAAAGAAAAGAAAAAGGAATATATAACTTGAAGCTTTGTAGACATTTTTAACATAGCAGTATATCTTACAGAATTATGAATATTATGAGTTATATTTTTTTTAAGTCATATATTTTATGGCCGTTTTTATGTATTTAGGCGGTCCTTTTGAAAATTGATATATTCATTTTGAGGGAGGAGTGATTCTTTTTCCTTTGATTTAGATCCTAAAGCCGAAATCTTGTTAAGAGAGGAGAATATGATAACATTGATCTCGGGTGTGAAGCTAGGAGCTTCAAACCACTTGGCCTTGCACTAAAAACCCACTATTAGAAGTGAAGTGATGTTGGGGTTTTTATTTCTCTCTTATTGTCTTATAATTTAAAGTTCATGTCAATTTGTTATGGTCATAGTACTTGGATGTATTTTTTTAGTTTGAAAGAATGCCAGTGCTTGTTTCAAATGCAACTAGTTTATTGCAGGAAGATATTTCCTCTTGATTTATATGAGATTTATGTATTGCTGTCTGGTTTATTTTAGTGCATTTTGCGTATAGGGTTCCTTATGCATCTTTTAATGTATATTTTGGATTACAAATTCATTGTTTGTGGGTGGTGCACTCTTTTCATGGTTGATTTGCTTCTGTTAAATATAATTTGGTGTTTTGGTGGTCTATTTTGAAATATCCAATTTCATAGTTTTTAAGTGCTCCTATTTTGATCCCTGCCTCTGAATACCGACCATTTGCAGTAAGCAACTCGTGCAATGAATGCCTCATTACTAACAGAGAGAATACAATGCATTTCCCACCATGAGGCAAAATGTGTTTTGATATATTTTCTCGTACAGACTTAAGTGAAAGCTCTGAGCAGGTTGTTTTTGTAGGTTTTACCTACTGACTGAAAAATCCCGATCCAAATTGGATTTAGTAGATGACTGTCTCAGTTCCTTGAAGGAATTGTCAGGATTGCCCAATTCTGTCAGAGACCCCGGGTGATTTTGTCAAGAGAAATTGACGACGTGTATAAAAAATCAGGCAATTCCCACTTGATTTAATATTTTTATAATATTTTGTTTTTTGAGATTAGAAAATTGGCCAGTTTGGATTGGTCCAATCCATCACCTGATCGTGGTTTTAAAACCTTGGTTTTATCCATCTCCAATATCGTTCCTGAATTATCTTTTTAACATCTCCATTCTTAGACCTATGGTAATGCTAACATTATTATATATAATCTTTTGAAATTTTTACATGACCAAAAAGTCATTATTTTTGTCTCCGACTCCTCCACAATAATTGTGTGACAGTCCTCTAGTGTTTAGAGACTCCACCAAGTAACTTTGCCTTAGGGCCGAGGTGACTTCCGGGGCCAAACTTGCCCTTTGTTAAACTGTATTGAAAACCCAATTTTTGATAAAAAGATCTTCAATATACGATTGAAATGATGATTTGTGAATTTCTCTTACTCAAATGTTTTAGTTCTTTTTTTCTTTCTTTTTCATTTTTTTCATTTTATGAATATTCTAATGTATAAAATCATGTTTTTTCAATAATCTTTTGTATATTTTTTTGAAATTTTGTAGACCTTTATCAATTTCTATTACTTATTTTACTTTTTATTGATTGTTAATTATTTTTGAAAATTTCTTAACTTTATTTAATTTTTTCCATTTTCTGGTCTTGTATGGGACTTGGCTGAGTTACTTGGCTCAGGCATGGACCGAATCCAAGACCCGAGCCGAGTTCAAATACATCACTTCTCTCTCCAGTTTATTGCATTCTCTTGGACAAATTCGTAGTATGACCAATAGTGAATTAAGGCTTCTTCACTTAAGTGCAGGCAGATTAATAACCAAAGACACTGCATCAAAATAAAGACCATGTTGCGAACGTCCCAAATTTATCTGAAATACAGGTTTTAAGATCTCCATATCAAGACAAGGAATTTGATGGAAACAAAAAAAATTTATATACATTGAGGAAGCTATTTATAAAATCACATTTCCTGAAACATTTTCTTCAAAGGGTCAAGTTATTTGGGAATAAAAAAGGTCATATTTGAATGTGGTCATCTGAAAAAAAAATTCATACTTTAAATAAGTTGGGCAAAAGAATAAGGTTGCGGTTTGCATAAGGTTGCGATCTTAAAAAACCTAAGGTTAGCTGCACCTCTAAACTTTGTTATGAAATGTAATTTTGGTGTTGAAATTTTTTAGGATGTGAGTATTTATTTTCGTATATAATTTTAATATTTTAAACTTTTAAAATGGTTCAAATCAAATTGGTCTATAAACACATGAAATTATTGAAAATAGGCTGTCTAGATAACGTATTGCAAGATGTATTATTTTTTGGACTTGAAATCCTTTTTCATTTCTTCCATATTCATACTTCTTGATGTTGAAATAGCCTTTTTTTTTTTTTTTTAAGGGATTTCTGAGGAGCATCTTAATTCTACATTTTAAAATGTGTAAACTTTTTCCAAATAATTAACAAGGCCAAAACCCGGCAGCATAAACTTCCAATCCTCCCATATTTGATATATATATCTCTCTCTATTTCTTGAATTGGAAGTAGAAATAAGGCAAAAAGATTCTATGCTCCTATGGGAGTATGTTATCCATTTGAACCCTCGGGTAAAGCCTAGAAGTATCTTTTTGGACCCCAAATCTTGGGCATGTAACCTCATCAAGCCACCGACTAACCTAAGAAAAACGTGCCTGAAAGAAACATCATTGTAGTCAACAAAGGCATCCTATTTTGGACTACTATGCCAAAGTGTTTATGAACTCAAAATTAGATTTACTTGGATTCAAAAATTTTATATCAAAAGGCTCTTCAAGTTAACTTTTCAACCCAAAGATCTCTAGTGTTTCGTATGCTCCCTTGGGGTGCACTAGACGCGTTCATAAATAATCATGTCATCCAACAAGTATGACTGGTTTTTGTAGGGCAATAGCTTTACAGTGTTTGGTTAAAGGTGTGGCTTGTACAAGGATGCAACTTCAATTTCAATTAAGGAAGTAAGGTCGGGATATTTTACATCATTTATTTTAATTGGACGGTAGTGTCAAAAGTAGCTCATCTTTTGAGACAACATAAAATCTACAACGTTCAAACAAAATAGGCAGGGTAGATTGATGCAACTAACTTTTATACAATTTTAGTGGTAGTAAGATTGTAATGTTTTACACCGTTCACTTCCAAACCCTATTGGGAAATGCAATTTTGGTGTCAAAACAATTACGAAGTTTTAAAAATCTAATTTTTCCCTTGGAAAATCAAAGCTTAAAATTTCATATTTCATGGAATTATAAACATTTGAACTGGGCCATCCAAAATAACATGTTATAAAATAGACTATTGTTAAAGCATTAAGGTCCTCATAGATCCATGATTATCAATGTAGAGATAATCTATTTTCAAGCTTTACAATACTAGAATTGCATTTTTCCAATTAGATTTGAGGTGCTAATTTATATGTGGACATATCCTCGTGTATATGGAGAGGTTGTATGCCTTTGACGAGTTTGACAAGGGTAATATAAACATGTTTTTGTTATGGGTGTGGTTTATATAAGGTTGCAATCTTAAACAATCCAATTAAGGTGCACCTCCAAACTTTATCATAGTATGTAATTTCGGTGTAAAATGTTATTAGGATTGTCTTAAAATCTATTTTCATATCTAATTATAAAATTTTGAACTTTAAAAATAGTTAAAATCAAGTAGATTTATACACATTTGAAAATGGATGGTCAAGATAATGTGTTTCAATATGCACTATCTCTAGGACTCAAAATCTTGTTTTTTTTTTCATATTCATACCTCAATGTCGAGACGATTAATTAGGAGGTTTTTCAACATTAAAACAACCTATTCTGATAGATTTTTTAAGCGCATCTTTACTTTTACATTTTAAGGTTGCAACCTTATATAAACTTTTCCCTTCTATTATTAGGAACAATTTTGTGACTTAAGAATTTTACACTCATATCCTTGGATATTATAATTTGAGCGACACTATTGGGGGGAGTCAATTACCAAATAGACTCGTATTTGTTTGAAATTATGAGCACCACTTTTCCTCGCCTCCCGCAGTATTTTTTCCTCTATGTTGCGGCAATACAAACATCGGACAAGGGCTATTCTTTTAAGTTAAGTGCTTTTTGTTGTGTGATACTTGAAATACCGGACAAAACACCCATTTCTAGCTATTTCTTCCATCTTTCGACTCTCCACTCTCTTTCTACCATTCCGTCTCTAAATGCCCCCCTCCCCCCCACCCCCCTACCACCCCACCACCCCCCACCCCACCCATAATGAATATTTTCTTTATACTTTCTTCTTTTTAATTTTTAATGTACCTCTACTTCACATTTTGAAGGTTTGAAGTGAGACCTACTCTTAATTTGAAACTTTTCAAGTTTCAAAGGGAATTTCAAATATTGAAAATTTCAAGTTTAGACTTTTAAGATTAAATATGGGATTACAACTTTGATTTCAAACTTTCAAGTTTCAAATTAAACTTTAGATCTTGAAGATTCACTTTTAAAATCAATCATACGATATGAAAAGTCTGAAGTTAATAGTTTGAAAAAGTATATAATGAAAGTATTTACCTTTGGTGTAAGGTTGTTACAATTAATCTTGACAATTAGATGTAAAATTGGATGGCTGTATTTATTTTATTGACTAAGTTAAAAGTTCAAACTAAAATTTTTCGAACTTTATCACACACCCAAGCTATCAGATTTCACACAAAATGATCGTAAGTAATTGTGGTTTTCTTATACCAAAGGTAAATAATCTCATATACATTTTTTTTTTTTTTTTTTCATAAAGCGATAGAAAAAAAAAAAAGTACGACTATAAATACAACATTTGGAACATATATGTAATTTGCGAATAATTGAGGTGTACAAGCGTAAATCAATCATGTTTAAAATGGAATCTGCAAATTCGTCCCCTCCGTTTTCTCTTTCTATCCCTGTATTCCCTTTCTTGTCTGGGTTTCTCGCTCATCATTTCTCTGCAGTTATTATCTCTCTCATTAATTCCTTTTATTAAGCTTTTCCCCCTCTTCTCTGTTTATTGAAAAGTATTTGTTACATATTATTCAGACTGTGGAATAGCTTTAATGGCCGGTTTTCTATCAGGTATGATTGTATCTTTGTATATTGGTTTTTTATTGTATGAAAATTATAGTGGCATTGATTTAATAATGTGCAATTTTTTTAATTTAGAGGCACATTTTTCCTGGTATTGTTTTTGCTTAATTTCTTGGACAAATGTATTTTCATGGATGGTATATAAAAGGATTTGGTTACCTTGTGGTAATTTAATGAGAAACTCTTTTTCCAGGGTTTCTGTGACTTATTGGCTTATAGTTGGGGATTGAATTGGAAGAATCATTTTCTAGGGTTTTCTTACTGTTCTGCTTCATTTGGATAAGTTGTTAATCTGAATTCACCACTTAACAATCCACTCTTTTTAACTGATCCCTGAAATTTGATTCACGGATACCAAGATCTCAGTTTCCGGAGTGAAATTCAGTATGAAATACCTACTAAAGTTAAAAATAAAGTGGAGAAATTTGGAAAATTTTCTAACTTGGAAACAATTTCTCTGAAAAATGATATGGAGAAATAAAAAACTTGAATGTCAGCTGACACTGATTGAAATTCATTTAATTCTTTTCCCATTTCCTTCTACCTTTTATATTGGGCATTTATTTGTACTTCTTAATATTGATCGTCTCCGTTTCCTTGTATATTTTAATGGATGACTGCATAAGGAGTTCGTTGTTTTGAGCTAATTTTAGCGACAAACGTTGACATAAAGTAAAATTAAGTTTGTGGGTTTTTTGTTCATTGACTTAAGTTTTTGAGGTTTAAAATTTAAATAAAATGTTTATTTGACTTCTTCTTCTACCTTTGCTAGTTTCTTACATATAAGGTGATATATTTGCAACATGGGCGTTTGAACTCTTTAGCCTTCAGTTAACAGTTAACATATTCAGTAAAAAAAAAAAAACCCTTTAGTCTTCAGTTGAAATTAAATTGTGGTTTCACCTTGTTCGACTTTAGAACTGTCTTCATTCATCACTTTGATTCTAGTTATGCTTCATTTGGGTTGTGAATTACTTCAATGTTCATGAATGCTTTTTTTTCATTTGTAGTTAGAACTATGCTTATTCTTTTCTCTGATTCTAGTGGAAACTAAAATGATTAAGTTTGCTAAGATTCATTAGAAAGGCTTAATACACCAGGTTTTCTATTGAAAACTAACTCTATCTCTCTCTCTCACACACACACTCAACACACTAATGCAACAAAACTAGAATCCTTCCTCGTCTCACAACTTGTTTTACCCTACCGATCAGTTTTATTATCATTCGACGCTTACAATGCCACTTTTTTTTCTCATTCCTCCTTGGCTATTATCTCATTTTGTGCGTTATATACTTCGAAACATGCAATATAAATGAAAATGAATACGCAAGAGTTATTTTTTGTAATTTTTATTTTATTTATTGATACAAAATTTTGTAACATATTTGCTTCGTAGACTAAATATACACATCATTCTATTTTTTTAAGGGTGCAGTTTGTATAGAGCCGAGGCTTTAAACAATCATATTTGAACCCACCTTCAAATGGTATCAAGAAATATGGTTTTAGTATTAGAAATTTTTGTAATAGTCTAAAAATATATTTTATCTTTAATTATAAAATTTAAAACTTTAAAAATAGGGTAGATCGAGTAGATCTATGAAAACTTGAAAATCTTGAAAATTGACGGTCAAAAAGTACGTTACAAGATGCACTATTTCCAAAACTTGACATCCATTTTTTTCTCACATCCATGCATCTTGATGTCGAGATGGTCAATTTGATGATATTTGGTTATCAAAACAACCTCTTCTAGTGAAATTTTTGAGGTGGGCTCTAATTTGATTGTTTAGAGCCTAGGCTCTATATAAACTTTTCCCTTTTTTTAATTTACCTTGTGGCACTTTAAAGCTCCCACAATTCCATTTCTCTCTTATGTGTGTTATTATAATAGGTTGTGTTTGTGAGTTTCCATGTCACTTGGTGATCTATTTGCCTTAGTGCCAAGCCGCCAATCCATACAGGCTGGGAAGGAAGCTCCAGAAGTTATCACTATCTTCTGTTTAATTCCAGAGATCATACTGAATTGGTGATTAGGTAATTCTCTTGTATTATTTGCCTATTTGTTGACTCCTTTTCATCTTGTAAACTTATGTTTACATATAACCGTAGAATAATCTTTGAAAAATCTTTAAAAAAAAAAACAAAAACTTATAAATGAAGGTGGAAGTTTTGCAATACTGGAATTAGATCTTCAAAGAAATTGACACGTTTATTGATATCTACCTTTCTTAAAGGGTGCCTGTGTGCTAAAGAGAGATGGAAGGAAGCCCACCTCGACCAAGATGGAGAAAGGTTGCATATGGAGGAATGCAACCTGGGTACGATGACAATTACACTGACGAATCCTTCCTTGAAGCCATGGTCATGAACTCCAATGTTGTAAAGAGAGACTTGTTAAAAGTGATGAGGGATTCAGTTTCCATCTCGCAATACCTCTGTGTAGTGGCTCTGGTAGTTTGTGTTTGGACCTACACCTTGGGATCCATTATTGATGAGAAATTGCTTCTCTCTCTAGATGCTGTTTTATTAGGTTTGGGCTTCTTGGTACTTCTCTTAACTGAAAGAAGGCTTTCACTTCCTCTGCTCTCCAAATATTTCCTCAATATCGGGTTCTTTATATGTGGGTTATACGTCTTGGCTCCTCTCTTTCATACTCTTACTAGGTCCATCAGTTCAGATTCTATTTGGGCACTCACTGTTTCTCTACTCATAGTTCACCTCTTTCTCCATGATTACTCTGGTTCCATCATTAGGCCTCCTGGGGCTCCAAACAACCCCACTTTGACCAGCAACATCTCTTTAAATGCATCTATTGTGGCCTCGGTCCTTATTGCTTCCCGCCTCCCATCCAGGCTTCACGTTTTTGCCATCATGCTCTTCTCCCTACAGGTATACTCTCTCTCTCACATTATTTTTGTAGTGACGCAGAGTCCCTGTATGTGTGTGGATTTTGAGTTATTTGTTCCTCTTACATTTGTGTTGGCTTTTCCTCTCTCGGTATCATTATGTGTCGAAATCTCCTCTCTCTCTCAGTCTATCTCTATCTATTTGGAATTTGAATAGTTTGCCTCTCTCTCTCTGATTGGAATTTGAATAGTTTTCCTCTCTCTCTCTGGTTGGAGTGTGAATAGTTTGGCCCTCTCTCTCCTCTCTCTCTCTCTCTCTCTCTCTCTCTCTGTATGTGTGGAATTTGAGTAGTTTGCTTCTCTCAGTGAAATTCGATTTCACTCTCGCGCTCTCTTGCTGTGCCAGCATATGTGAATTCATGCTGCCTGGCTGTGTGTGTATGTTTGTGGAATTTGAATAGATCGCTTCTCTTATTCTGAAGTTTGTTGCTTTGTGATTGCTCTCCCTCTCTCTTTGTACGTGTGCCACTGTATGTGGAACTCATGCTCTTTGGTTCTCCGTCTCTCTCTCTCTCTCTCTGATATGCACACCCCCCTTTCTCCATGCAGGTATTCATTTTTGGGCCACTGGTCATTCATTGCTTGAAGCAGTACTCTGTGAAAGCTCATCTCTGGTTTTCTTTCACCTTGACGTGCTCAACCCTCGCGATTATCTTTCCAATAAACCGATTGGTGTTTGTCATCTTTCTTGGTCTTCTTCTTTTTGTTACAGTGGTCTGCCCATATTGGCTCATTAGGATGCAGGAATATAAGTTTGAGATTGAGGGGCCATGGGATGAGGCTAAGCTTTGCTTTGATATTACAGAGTGAGCAACCCTGCTTTATACATACCTTGAATGCTTTCTGTATAGCCTCATTGGGTCCTAATTATTTCTATTCTTTCTCTTCCTAACATTTGGAATTGTTTGCATCTTGGGTGCGACCCTTTTTCTTTTTGGCCTCCTTACATTTGTAATTTCCACCTGAAAATCCGAAGTCCAGCAAAGCTTTCTCCAATAAGTTTTTCTAGTGTTTTTTATTTGAAGGCCATGACGCTATGGTTTAAGGCAGCGTTTCAAAAACCTGGGTCGGCGAGGTGGATCGCCTACCTATCAATCCTAGTTCGAATTGATCGGGCAGGTGTTGTGGCAAAAATTTATAAAAAGAAAAAAGTTTTATATAGGGAATAAAACGTAGGAGGTAAGGGTAGCAACGGGCTGGGCGAATGACCATAGGGCCGGCTCTGGCCAATGAGGCCCTGGTCCAATGGGGTCGGGCCAATTAAAAACACGAAAAAACTAAAAAAAGTACTAATAGGAAAGACATGGAATGGGCCTAGGCGGACTGGCCTTGGCCCTTGCACAGGCCAGGCCAGACCTGACCCTCAGGCCACATTTTGTGGCTCGACCCTAGTTTTTTAAAGACAGCTGAATCACCAGCCCATTGCCCGGCTACTGGGAGTTTCGTCCAACAGGCTTCAAATGAGCTTCCTAGTTAGAGGGTATACATGAGGTCCTCTACCATGAATCCCAATATAGCCGTAAATGTTAGCCATTAGCCAATAGGACGCTATTCGAGCATTTTGAATTAAAATGAATATATTTGCTAAATGAGCAATTCTACTAAGGAATTGACACGATTCCCGAGTCAGATCAGCCATTTTTAAAATACTAGTGTAAGTTTGGAGTTGCTCTCATTTTTAAAATAGAGAGAAACAAAATTACCAAGGCACACTTGGAAGCCAGACCGTAGGAACTGAAATAGTCAAATTTATACCTCTAGAGAGGCTTCATCTTGTTGGCCTGAACTGGCCGTCTTTTAGAAATCAAACAAAGCTATACACTAAGAAGGAAAGGAAAATGACAAAAGAGAGACTGCGTGTGTGTAATTGAAGTTGGGAGCAATGACAAGATTGAAATGCCTACTTACATACATAGATGGAGAGAGAGAGGGAAAGAGAGTAGCTTTTAGAGCTGCAATCCTTGGGCATACCACCATACGAGTTTTCATGTGTGAGCAGGAGCAGTATCCATGAATGTGCCATCATTTCTCTATAGCTCACAAATGACCTACTGTAAAATTATTATTTATATTTTTTTATGTTTGTTAATGAAAAACCTCGGCAGGGGCCTTCTCCTCCCACTGATTTACCAAAGAGAAAAAGTTGGGAGCAATAAATAGAAAGTTGTGAAAGAGAATCCATTCCATGTAGTGTAGGGGAGTAGTAGAGAGAAAGATTACAGTAAACTATTTTTGTTCTCTTAATGAAATCTTGGTAACGTTCAAAGAAAAAAAAGGGGAGAGCGAGGGATAAAAATTACAGATGGTTTGATGGGGAGCCAAGAGAGGATGAAGGGCGAGGTTACTTTGTTCTCTATCTCTCTATAGAAAATTAGAGAGCTATTCTATAGAGCGACAGAACCACGCCTATATGTTTCCTCATTTGCATCTCGCCTAGCCCTTCCCTTTACGAGGTTCATGTTGCAACTTCTCTCTCTCTCTCTCTCCATTTTCCTGGCCATCTGTCTCTCTCTCTATGTATGGCAAAGGACGATATTTCTCACTAGAATGGCAGGTCCCCCAGAAATCATTAAGTCTCATATGCAATGATCATATTTATTTTGGTATTCATTTTTCAGCTCCTTTATCCATTTTAACTCATTTCATTAACCAGATCATTCCCATCTCTAGATAAGTATTTTCTAGGGCTGACGCACGCCTCAAATATCCAAAAACGTGATTTCAATGCCAGAAATATGAAAATAACTGATATCAACTTCTAGAATCATGGATGCAAAAAAGGAGCTCATGCCCTAAAAACCCTACCAAATGTGCATGATATTTGGAGCTCCAATGGTGGAAAGAATTCCCAAGTCACCACAAGGGTCTCCAAAACTGCGTTTTTTGAGTCAGATTTCGAGTTAGCAGTTTTAACAGATAGTAGAGCCACAGCGGCATTAAAACTACACCTTTCCAACAACCAGCATCTAATAGATCTAAGAAAGCATAGAATGATAATCCAAGAAGCCAAACAGGAGCTAGAGAGAGAGAGTAAGAGAGAAAGAGAGAGAGATCCGAGTGGAAGTATCAAAGATTTCTTTAATATTTCTTTGATATACAGTATTTCGGGCCAAAATGAAATCCAAGGGCCAGAGTGACCAAGACCAAAAGACTACTAGAAATAACACTAATAGTTGATTAATTCATAAAAGTGCATTTCATCCAATTTTACATGGACCGCGAAAAGTTTAATCAGATAATAGCTCTAACCAGTTTAATCCCCATAAATCATACTGAGAAGCAAAGTCCCATCCGTGAAAGCAAAAGGTTAAAGAAAAATGTGATCTTAACTGGCCAATGTTTTCTTACTACCATGGAAAAGGAAATTCTGCAGGGTTTGGGGATCTCAGCAGAGGGCATAAAAACTTTTTAACAGTGAGCAGAAGCCATCATTTAACTTCCGGCTGAAGCTGGAATGGGTGTTGGTGTGGCATCTTCAGCTTTTTCATGTTCTTTGTTGAGCATCTGAGGAAAAAAAAGGAAAAAAAATACACATAAATTAGAACCTCTCTCTCTCTCTCTGGTGTGTAGGTGGACAGTTTTGGTTTGGCGTGTGCGGGAGACAAAATTCAAGGTTAGGACTTCCTTGAGTCCCCCCATTTCTTTCATGCCTTTTCTCAGTGGAACTTTGATCAGCCAACAATCAGTACACAGCTCAAATTTTGAAACTACCAATCAAGGATTATTTCAGTTGCTATTCTTTGATTCTTTTTGGAAAGAATTATTTACCTTGTTGTTGATCAGGTTGTGCAGCGCAATAACACTCCGGATGAGCGAAGAAAGGTAAATAACGAGCATCATATCATTAGTTTTCACTGCAAGAGATCCAAGTACTAAGCTTCCCTGATAACATCAATTAGCAGGTAAATTATATGGCCCTCTATAATGGCACAATGAGAAACTCACCTGCGAAGGCCTTGATCAACTCATTGACATTTAGATTCGGCAGCAAATTGAAAACATCCTGCATTACAAACACCAAAAACAAGTTTTTACAGATTCAGGTTTCAGTCTTTGATACCAACACTATTCTAGATCTAGGACCAAAACAAAAGGCACATTTGCTTTTCTTGGTTAGCCAAAACTAGTTTTCAATAAGTATGAAGGAACTCTCTTCATAGTTATGAGTATAATCTTAGTTTGCCTCTTGTATTACCCCAAAGAATGCATATTTTGATCGTACATTCTGCGAGTTACTTCTCCACAACAAAAGTAGTTATGATACCAGGCAAGGTTCATAAAAATCCCCACAAGTGTTTTAGAACTCTAAAATATAACAGGTAAGGTTAGGGCTCATGACTTCCTTCCCTAAGTTACTAGTCCAAGGGAAAGCACTCAATGAGACCATTCATCTTAAGGTACATTTAAGTAAAAAGCACCGCAAGCAATCAGATGTCGAACAAGACAGATGGCAATCTATCATTGAGCGAACTCAAGTAAGTCCGAGAAATACTTTCTTCAGAAACTTCATGTGGAAAAGAGTATGTCATATTTCTTGTTGAACAGCTTTGGATGTCGTCTACCTTTTTGTACCAAAGGTAGACAGCCTCATTGAAGACACTACCTTACAAAATTGCATCCCATCTTCAGGTTGTGTTGGAAAAAACAGAGAATCCATTAATTACAAGGTGCATAACAATCAGTTAGTCATGAAAAACAGTATACCTGCAAATGATACAAAATCTCATGATTCAGTGGTAATTTCCCGTCAACTACAACATCCAGGTAGCTATGAATTTCTCGAAGCCGAGCATCAAGGCCCTGTAGAGCTGCTAATTTTCCAGTTACCTGTTACCCAAAAAAGGAACAACGATTAAGAGATATAATATGATGGGGCCTTATGGCCTACAGAAGAGCTCTTCTGAGTCTAACTGTAAATCTTGTGAGGTTAGTTCCACAGTGAAAATATTAAGTGCATGTAGAAGAACTTAAATGCAATCCATTACGAAAGAAGAAAAGAGAGGAGTAATGCCTCTGTAGCGAGAGTGCTTATTGTTGTGTCTTTAACATCTCTAAGCAAGTGCTCAACACCTGCAAATACAATAAAAAAAAAGGTTAAACAATATAACTTCAAATTAAAAATCTCCCACGTCAAATATAATACTAAACATATACCAGCAAAGGACTCCTTGCAGTGTCAGATTATGGTATATGTAACATCCATAAACAAGTTTGAGATGAACCCTGCAAAATTTTGGCCTCCAGCAGAAAAGCACAACTTTCAAACAGTTACCTAATCAAAATTTCTACCTTTGTGTGTGCGTGTTGAGGTAGGGGGAGGGAAGTGTTAACGGTGCAAATGGAGCCTAGGGTGTAATGTTGAGCCACCTGCTCCCCTAATCACTGATGCCCCGACTCCTTCTGCTAGTTACCTAATCAATTTTCAATCCTCAAAATCTTTCCAACATTTCAATTTAGGGCAAAGCTTGAGGACCATTACAGTTGATGATAACCTTCGATGCAGCAAAACCATATAATACTATTTTTCCGAACTACTGAGATTTCAGCAAAAGCTTTGGTTCTCAAAGAAAATAAAAATCTCAGACCAGTGTAAAATAAATGATTCTCTGAAGCTCCTGCAATTTTCACAGTGCAGTGAAATGTTATCTAACTTCAACTTTCAGCATAAGCTGAGCTCAATTACTTTGCCAGATCCAACACAAGACACAGGCATGGGTATACTTATAAGAAAGAACCTAGTACGTTTTGCTCGAGAAGCAAATAATAAAAAATAAAAAAATGATTGAAAGAAACAAAGCAGATGGGTGCTCCCATGGGACCCCCGGCCCCTCTGGTGTAGGTGGGCTCTTTTGTTCATCCGATGGACAGACCTTGCATGCTTTTTCCTTCCCCATTGGCCTTGCAGATTCAATTTCTAGCCGAAGCCATGGCCCTTTTAGATGGTATACATAGTTTTCACATCACCTAGGGTCACACCCTGGTGGTGGAAGGGGACTCTAACAATGTAATAGATTCGGCATCAGGTCTCTCTCCCTGCCCGTAGCGTCTAGATGACGTCTTTGATGAAATATCCCTTTTGTCACAAGATATCTCAATCTCATGGTGCCATCTTTTTTGGGAGGCCAACTCCAATGCTGATTATCTTGCTAAAGAGAGAGCCTACTCTAATTCCCTGGGGGGCCCATAGATTTTGTTAGATCTCCCACATCCATCCTTGGAGTTGTAATTTTGCTTCGGTACTTTTTTATACCCTTCGGGGATGTATAGGATGCCCTCTAAGACGGTCCCATTTTTGTGTACATTTTACTACTCACTCAGTAATACAATTCTAGTCACCTTTACTCAAAAAAAGAAACAAAGTAGAAAAATGTAAAGACTATCAAGACAGGTATCCTTCTTACGAGACACAAACAGAAACCAAAAGAATATAATGGAATAGCATGAAGCACATTAATAATAATAACAATTGCTTTACGTACCAATTTCCTCAACCTCATGAGCTGCAATTTCTGAAGGTACATGGACAAATACCTTCTGGCTTTTCTGAGTGGCATTCTGTAAAAATGATTATATACAAGCTAAGCATGACGTAGCTACAATTCCTGGAGAAGGCCCATAAAAATCTAGGAGGTAAATAGAAATTGTACATTAACTGATGTCTATACCTCTTTAACCTCTTCAACGGCATAGTAAGCTTTGGTAGGGATGCCGAGCTCCTTAGGTTGGACATCAATAATAACTAGGACAGGATTAGGTACATAACTACAATAAGAGGACTTGAAAACAGTCAGTCCAAGAACATATTAGTTATTATATATGACACAGATAATAGCAGTATGCTCCTCACAATACTAACACTAGATAAAGGAAACTTCATCAAAACAAACCAAATATCAACTTTTTAACGTTTTACCTATTTATCAAGATACTTCCAAAATTTCAACTAGTATAAGTCATAACTAATGTTCTTTGATGGGAATTTTCGAAATTAAATCAAAAGAAATGGCTACAATGTTAAATAGTTTATCTCTTTGGTGCCTTATGATAAATTTCCCCAAAAAAGTTTCTAAACATACAGAGAACAATCAAGCAAATATACCACATTAAATAATGCAAATAAGCTCAACATAGATACCATTTTTTTTTTGGGAGAGCGGTTGACTGTACATTATATTATAATTACAGTGCAAACTCCCCTGTATCGCTACTCACAATCCGGGAGCTCTAATACAAATGGAGTATCAAATAATATAGATACCATTATGGATAATGGATTTCAACATCGTAAAATACACTTGGAATCATGCATTAGGGGGAGGAATAGCTTGCATGCTTCACCTACATAGTTTCCTGCCCTCTAATCCTTCTTTTAATGTAAAGTTATGTTGATCAAGGAGAAGAGAATAAGCTCCATTAAAGACTGGCTAAGAGAAAGAAGAGTATCTAGCACACTTAAACAAGTCCTAGATATTCCTTCCAATCCTCCATTGTTTGGCGTTTTGTGCACAAGCTACAAGATGTCCAATGAGTTACCCCGCATCACCTCCAGTACAATTGCAATCCCTCAATGGCTAAAGGTCCATTAACCCATCTGATGACATTGGGAGCAGAACCTTCAACAATGAGGGACCAACAAATGGCACAATTGTGAAAGGACCAAAAGGACATGGATGGAAGTACTGAGAAGAGATATGGTGACTTTTAGTCAGATTGAGGGTATGGCCCTTGATAGAGCGAAATAGGAATCGTGTAGCCAACCCCAAATAGTGGAAATAAGGCCTGAATGGTGACGACAATGATGACATAATGTATGTATATATGTATTTGATGATATATGTATGTATATGCATGGGACGGTTTATGCAAGGCATCAACCTTAAAAAATCGAAGTAAGGAAGTCCTATAAACCTTGTTAGAAGATGAAAATTCCATTGTGGAAACCCCTATGATGCCTGAAATTCTATTTTCACCCGTAAATATGAAATTCGAAGCCCCAAAAATGGTACAGATAAAGCAGATCTATAAATACTAAAAAATGGACAGTCAAGATAACATATTACAAGATGCACTATTTTAGGACTTGAAATACTTTTTGTTTTTCAATATCCATACATCTTGAGGTTGAGATGATAAATTGGATGATTTTCTAGCATCAAAACAACCTGTTTGGGTGGGTTTATGTCTACCACCCTAATCAAAGGAGCATATGCACAAGCCAAGCACATCCTAAGTAACACCGAAATCCCAAAAGAACCCAAGTTACTGACTTCTTAAAACGGTTATAGATGACCATTTTCCAAGAGATCCAAAGCTCTTATCAAGCCCTCAACTTCTCCCAACCTAGCCACCCACCAAACCCCCTTTCCCATATCAATATTCTCATTCCACACTTCCTAAAATTAAAAAATGGACGAAGCCTCCATGACTGCTTCCCCAATGAGAGTATGGTTATTGGAAACTAAACACCAATCAAACAATATGTGAGGGACCACAAGAGGCCCAACCAACTGCCCTCGAGGGAAACTATTAGTTAATGGCAATTTCTGGGAGACCTCTCAAACATGTTGTCTATAGGTGGAGATGAAGATATTTGTTAATTTTGGCCGGTAGTGTCTGCTAAGCCAGCATCATTGAGAGAATTATAGCAGAAAATTTTTACTTTTTTCTTTAAAAAAGGGTGAATTACAAGAGACACTTGGTATTCTATCCAAGGCTGCAATGGAAACAGAGCTTCCCCCGACTCTGACGGATAAGTGGTGGGTCATGAATCGAATACATGATGGGCGGAAGAGAGATAACTGGGAATTCAACCGATTGATTGGAGTAACTAAGGAAAAGACCTTATCCTGATTGTCGTTTAAGCAGTGATAGCCTCTCAAATAGGAGCAGAAACCCTTGTTATTAAGCATGAACAATCACCAAACTCCACCACTGCAGGATAAGTATATACAGTGGATGCTGGGTACGAGTACTTACTTGCATGAAGTATAGCTCAACACATCGGAAATAAGACTGATTAAGAAGAAAAACTGAAAAGTCAAAGAAGTTCAATTTGAAATGGGCCCACTGCGATCCCAATCCAGGGGACCAGTCTCTCACTTTTTGACACTACAGGAATTTTTTTTTTCTTGAAACTAATACTACAGGAATTCGACAGCTTGGGCAAGAATCTAGATGGATCATGCAGGTTTCTCTGGGCTTGGGGACTGAAGAACAATTTGAAGTGGTAATGATCTGGCTCCCAAAATGACAAGAAATTGCTATATACCTATCAAGACTCCATGTCGAAAATTACTAAAGGGAATTACTTAATGGGACAGTAACTCATTTGATAAGTATGGCCCTTGAAAGACTCGTATCCCACATTTGCAATCAATAGAGGTGGCTGTAGCCTGTGGGAAAGAAAGCCATCTGGTAAAAAAGAGAAATTTCATTCCAATCGGATCTTCCAAAGGTGCCAATCAATAGGAAGCCTTATCAGCTAAGCTATGAAGGGTTTCTCAATGTTTTCTGACAATGATGCAACATAAATACCTTCCATAACAGATCATCTTTTCATGTCCGACAAAAAAACAAAGAATCATAAGTGGTTCACCCATGAGGTTGTTGGACGTGAATCAAGTCCCACCGAACCATGTGACTAGGTATATGAAGACTGAAGATGAGTTGTTCAAAGATCAAAGTCCCAATGAGTCCCTAAATCACTGTCCACAAATTCCAAGAGGTCACTCACAATTCTTGGTATCGTGCATTGAGAAGCAGTAGTGTTGTCTTTCTGAAGGAGTCCAAATAGCGTACAAATAGAAAGGAATCGTAATCATAGATATCAGCAGACTGTCAAAAATCAGAATTTTAAGAAATCTATGACGTAACCCAAATTTGGATATCATTCATTTCAAGAATGACCTGCAGTAGGCACCTCTTATATGCGTGTAAAGTGTAAACAATAAATGCTCCCACCACTCCAATGTTAAGGTTTTAGAACATAGACACATATGCAAATGCAAATAATGATGCTCTCTACATTTATAAAGGCTAATTGTGCTCATGCAATTTTAAGTCCCAAACAAAAAGTACAAGCTAATCAAAATACATTTGTGAATGGATTATAAGCTAATCAAAATACACATCATGCATGTCGTTTACCACCATGAACAATAAGGAAATTTACATTTTTACTAAAAAAAGGAAAAAATTGCCATAAACGACCAGGAGAATTGGTAGATTCCCAAGTCGACTGTCACAGAAATAGAGATAGAAACTGATCTTACTCAAGGAACAGTGCATGCACATCCAGGTCGTTCTCCCTTAACTTTGGACCAGTGCTGTACCAACCAACAACATGTTCCTTGGCTGAAAAACAAACATTAAATTCATTAAAAATAATAAAATAGAAGATGACAATCCCCCTTACATTAGATCAGAAAACAAAACCATCAAATCTCAAAATACTGGCAAAATGACTCCTTAAATGATGAAGTAACCAATTAACTTCAAATAAAAGAAAAGAAAAAATTCAGAATGGACCATAGTGTAATATTTATGCGATCCATTGTAAACATTATAAGAATGAGTTTACAATACAGGAACTTTTATGATTGAGAGGGCCAGTTCCCCATTTTTTTGTATTCAAGGAATGTCTAATCATCTCATCCAAAGGATGGGGGGGGATTTCATGTAATTTGCCTAAAATGTCACATGTTGGAGACCGGAACAGGATGGGAAGATAAAAAAAATACAAAATAAATAACAGCGGTCAAGAGTACCATTTATCCTCTTGAACATTCCAAACATGGCTTCATGGTAGTTGTGGTCCAGAAACCATATGCTTGGGTCCTTTTCATCTTCTTCAAAAGGGACTGCAAATATATCATCTCAGTGTTTAAAATCCGCAGTCAGTCATTCAATTGAGAAATTCACCTCAGTTCGCATAATTAACAGCCAAGCATCCCACCAAACAGATTAGAAAGAAGCAAATTGCATGTTAAGGAGCAGCAAGTATCAATCGCAATTGCCAAGTCAACTACAAGCTGCAGCTGCATAATTCTTTTTACTGGTATAATGTGGGTGATGCTACACGCTCAAAATATTACACAATAATTTGTCATAGTTAATCTGCTTAGATAATTGTTTGGTTTTTTTCTTTGTCTATCTAGAAAAATATCAAGTTAGACAAAATAGATATGAAAATAAAAACTAAATATGAGAAGAGAATACCGAATCACTGTAGTTCTTTAAGGAAATCAAGGAGGGAATGGATAAATAAACACTGGAATTCTATTCTAACCATTAATGCTATAGGAAATAACAAATAATAAAGGGAAAGCTACCAAATCACACCTACGAACTAAAATATTTTACATCTCACTTAGTTCTTTTGATCTAATTTCAAATCGTCAACAAATTTCAAGTAACCCATCAAATGACATGTCATCATAGGTTAAAAAAAATAAAAAATTTCCTCATTCTTGTGATTGTTTTTTCTCTTATGGTAAAATGTTAAATAGTTAATCTCTTAGGTGAGTTTTGATAAATTTCCAGAATACAAATAAAAGGGGAAACAACTAAGAGGGTAACAATCCAAGCTCTCAAATCATTAATGCACACGAGTTATGTAAAATATCACAAAGCAAAAAAAAAACTTGAGCACTGAAAAAAAATAGAAGAAAAATTTACCAGAAAGCCATAAAAAAAAAGAAAAAATGAATCCCCTCCAAAATCACAATAAACTCACACTCCGAAACTTTACAATAATTTCAAACAAATTCCCACTAAATGAATGAAATCAATCAACTTTTTACGTAATTACCATCCAAATCAAAAGTATAATTCTAACAACAAAATAAAAACACCAAAATATGACCTAGATTGCATTCTAAGGACCCAACAAAAAACAGAAACTAGGGTTTTGGTTCCCAAATGAAACAGAAACCGCATAATACAGAAAAACTTAAATAAACACACCACCATATAACAAAAACCAGGGTTTTCCCCCCAAAAAAACAGAAAATACATCAAACCAGACTCAAAGCCTAAGGCTCTGAGAGGATACACAATCGAACCTGCATAGCTATTGGTAACGTCGACAGTTCCTCTGAAAGAAGACCCTAGAAGAACACCAATGACCCTTTTCTTCGTATCCTTTGCAACTCTGTTGTAATTGTCCACTATGCTCAGAAGAACCAGTGGATGAACAATTACTTTCTCTATCGGCCTAGATGAGATCTGCTGAGTCTTGATCACGTCCATTCTAGGGTTAGGGTTTCAGCAAAAAGGAGCAGCACTGTGACGGTTCTCCAGTGTGCAGGTTAGGGCTTTAGAGGAAAAGCACATGTAGTTCTGACGAGGATTTCTTGCCTAAGAAGAAAAGGCTCACTCTCTCCCTCTCTTCCAAAAAAAATAAACATATACATAGCAGAAATTACATATAGTGTGGTTTGTTCAAGGCTGGGGCCCTAAACACTCCAAGTAAATCACCTTCAAATAGTGTCAGTACTGAAAATCTTGGTAATGGCCTGAATATTTATTAGGTTTAGTTTGCACAAGGTTGCAACCTTATAGCACACTTTTAAATTATATCATAAATATAATTTTCATATAGAAATTTCTTAGGAGGGCTTGACAATCTATTTTCATCTACAATTATAAAATTATTCGATATTGTATTAGATATGGTTGGCATAAGGTTGCAACTTTAAATAATCCAATTAAGATGCGTAATTAAATTTTATTGTAAATATAATTTTGATATTAAAAATTAGTAATATGGCTTGAGAGTCTATTTTCATCTCTAATTATATAATTTTAAATTTTAAAAATAGTTTGAATCAAGTAGATCTATAAACACATAAAAATATTGAAAATATACGATCCAAATAATGTGTTGCAAGGTACATTATTTTGTAGACTCAAAATTTTTTTTCGTTTCATATTCATATTTTTCAATGTCAAGATGATCAATTAGAAGGTTTTCCAACATCCCAACAATCTTTCATGATGGATTTTGAGGTCTATCTTTAATTCTACATTTTAAGGTTGCACTCCATATAAACTTATTCCATGTTTATTTTTATCTCTAATTAAAAATTTATGAACACTTTAAAATCTTGAAAATCGTGTAGATTGAATACGAACACTTTAAAAATATTTAAAATTGACAATGCATTACAAGATGCACTATTTTTAAGTATTGAAATATATTTTTTCTCATGTCTATATATCTTCAGGTCGAGATGACCCAGTTAAAGATTTTTAGGCATCGAAAAACCTCTTCTAGTGAATTTTTGAAGTACGTCTTAATTTGATTGTTTAGGGCCTCACCCTTCCAATAATGCAGTGGATCACGCATCATGCATTCCATAATCCAAATCCGTGATGCATTAACCTTCTTTACCGACTGCAATGGCTTCTTCTATAGTATAGACTAGTTATCTATGTTTCTGCTAATGAGATTTTGTCATCAATAACAAACCCCAAATTTGCATTATCGGACAAGTACTTGTACCAACCCTTAACCTATTAAAACTAACAAAAAGCCCTCTTTCAAGTTTTGGGCTTGTTTTCTCTGTAAAATAGATGTACATTTGTAAACCAGGCCCTTTTTTTTTTCTAAATTTGACCCCTTAATGTCTTCTCTGCAAAAGAAAGGGTTGAGCTTAATGGTGTTGCTCACAAAAAAAAAGGCTGAAGTTAAAACCATTATTTACTTCAATGGAGGTTTTAGGTGTAATGATATTTACTTTGAAGCGGGATTCTTTGGGTTTCTGATGCAAATAATATTAGGGTTATTTTAATTTTTTATTATTCTTTAATTTATCTCTTCAGGAATAGGAGAAGAGGTACGCAGAGATATTTGTGAGCATTGAATTTGTTTGCGAGTTGATATTTATAGATTTGGGTTAATGTTAATGTTAGAACACTCTCTTCTAGATGATTTTTGAGGTATATCCTTTAAGCATAAAAAAAAATAATTAAAAAAATTTTGTGTTTTCAAATACTAAATTTACAACTATATTTAAATATAATATTACTTTTTATTATATTTTGATTTATTACTATTGTGATTGTTTATTTTATATAAGCACATAATTCGACTAGTATAAAATAAAGGATAAGAGTTTTTACGAATTAGCTGCCTCATCTAAATGAGTCCTCCCAAAATCTATTTTAGTGATACATTTTGGATTCAAAGTTATAGGGGCTGGAAAAAATAAATAAAAGTTTCCTGATATAATTCTAACACCACTGATCTTCACAGACAATACACCTCAGCACACATCGAGTTGGAGTTCCTCTCCGCCTTATGATAGAACCCATTTTCCACCATCTTAATTTTATAAGGAAAGGGGAGTAGGATCAAAGCAAATCTATTATGTGAGTTTTAAGACATTTAGAAAAAATCCACTGGGAAAAAATAAAGAAAAAAGAAGTTATGATTGAAATCCTCTCTTTGCTTTTTATGTTTCTTGAAAAATTAGTAGCAGGCTTGAAATTAATAATTGCATGACCCTTTTTTGTTTATTTATGTTTTTTTTTTTTTTTTAAGAAAATTAATAAAATGTTTATGAGAAACGAACTATTTAACAATGTGCCTATGAAAAAGTATACAATAAGACGATTTGTCTTTGGTATATCACAATTACTGTTAACGGTTGAATGTGAAATTTGATGGTTTTATTTATTCTATTTACCAAGCTCAAACTTCAAAAGAAAATTTCGAAACTGTGACATACCCAAGCTAACAGATTTCAGATCGGATATATAATCGTGAGTTATTTATATCAAAGGTAAATGGTCTCATTGTTCCATCTCTTTTACCCATTTAGAATTATTCCAACCGAAGAACATGTATTTTTTTAATAGATATTTTGAAATTGAACCGCCAAATATGAACAAAGCTCTAAATAGTCAATCTCTTATGGGTAATTTGGTCAAGGGTGCGGATACATCCATAGTTGTAGAGATAAGGCGCACCTTCACATTCCATAATAATGTATAAATTTAATGTAAAATGTTTTTAGGATTGTCTTAAAATCTATTTTTATATTTAATTATACAATTTTAAATTTTAAAAATGGTTAAAATCAAGACATATGAAAATCTTGAAAATAAACGGTGTAGATAATATGATGTAAAATATACGGTTTTTAAAATTTAAAATATTTTTATTTTTCATGATTACACATCTTGATGTCAAGATGTCGATCAAAGGGTTTTTCAACACTAAAACTATTTTTTCAGACGGATTTTTGAGGTGCATCCGCAGTTCTACGTTATAAGGTTGCATCCTTATATAAGCGTTTTCGTTTCATCGATTCACCTTTTCTTTTCAGATTTACTTACCCTGAAGAAGATCACACCGCCATCTTGCACGTGCGAGGCCTCACAAAATGCGGTACGCAGATTTGCGTTCGTTTTCTTCCGCGTTTTCCATTCTTTCTCAAAAGAACTCTTCAATGGCCGCCTGCTTCCTCTAACCACTTCGATCATGAGCTTTCTAGTCCCTCGATATAACCAGGTACGCCTCTCGACCTTCATGTTTTTTTTTTTCTAGGGTTTTTGAATATTGCACTTCTCACTCGTTTTAGTGAGAGAAAGTTATTGAATAGATGTAGTCTTGGGTTTTGGTTAACGGGGTTTTGGTTTCTCTCTAGAACGGTTTAAGCCTCTAAAGTTTGGGGCGGGTGGGTTTTGCCCTAAAATCCTTGCAGAGGAGAAGGGAGGGATTTTTTATCTTGCATTTAAGATTAGTGGTCAGTGGTGATTTCTCTCTCTAACTAATTTGGGGGCAGTAATCATAGAAAGAATGATATTTAGAGGATGCAGAATTTATAGTCTGATTTTAGTGAACTGATTTTTTTTCTTGTTTCTATTTCTCTCTCTAAATTTAGGGGGAGAGTAGCTTCTTATAATGCAATATTTAACCAGGGATAGAGTAAGGGGTAGAAATTAGGTTTCCTAGGTTGATTTTTTCTCTATCTGTGACTTTATGGGCATACAATTTGCTTTTGATGACTGAATATTTCCATCGAAGCAAAGGGGATTCGAGATTTTGGGTAAAACCTAAAAGCCTTTTCTCTTATGGCTGTTTCTCTCTCTTTATGTTGAGGGAAGGGTAGATTTTGATAGTTTTACAGGTAGCAAAGCGAATATGCTAAGGACATTGAGTTGCTCTTTCTCTCTCAAGGACACCATTATAGGAGTAGCCTGATAATATTGGTGCTCTGAACCATCAAGAAACCCTAGCTTCTAATGATAAAGAGAATCCTAATTATATCCTGATTCATCGGTTTCTTTTGGTGCTCCCTTTCTTCAGGCTGCTATCTAATTATAATCAAGATATTCCATTCATTGTTTTCTTGGATATCTACAAAGTTCATTTCAGATTAATCATGGCTTTATTTAATACTTTCTTTATTCATTTCAGCTTCTGAACCATCAAGAAACCCTAGCTTCTATTGATAAAGAGAACCCTAATTATATTATGATTCATCTGTTTCTTTTGGTGCTCTCTTTCTCCGGGCTACCCTGAACTACCTGTGTAAATGCTCCAGTGCTCTACATTTATTGTTTTTGCTCATTTATTTTTGTATATAAACCGTGAAAAAAGCCTAATTTTTGTTGATAAAAAATCCTAATTTTTTTTTTATCCTGATGCTATTTATCTGTTTTGTGTACTCTTTCCTCAGGTGACCATCTAACTCTATGCAAGACATTCCATTCACTGTTTTCTCAGATCAAACCCTAATTTACCCCGTGTAAATACTTGAGCATTCCCTGATCTGAGTTCAACCCATATTTGATCCAATTTTATTCTTTAATGGATGCTAGTCTATGGTAATGGACACATCTGAGCCTAGTTCAAAGCGTCGGTTTGTGGATAATTTGGATTCACAAAGGGAAAGGGATAGAGAAGGGGATGGAAGAGAAAGTTCAGATAAGAGGCGGCACCGTTCTAGCAAGTCGAGAAAGCACACCAACACTGATGAACCCTGCGATTGGGAAGATAGTAGAGATAGAAGAAAGAATTCACCAGAAAATGTATCGAATAAAAAGAAGTTAATTAGCTCAAGCAAGGCCGATAGCTCAGATGAGAATGAATGTGATGAAAGGAGAGTTTCAGGATCCCGAACGGTTAGGGAAGAGCAAGATGGTGACGATTATTTAAGCAAGGGGGGGAATGGGGATCATCATGAAAGAAATGATAAGAAAACGAGTGGTGTCAACTATGAGAAAACATCAATTGGTGGTCGTAAAGGACGGGAGGAGGGTCGAAATCGGTCAGAGGAGGTGGTTTTGCAAAAACGTCATCCAGAATCTAAAGAAAGTGATAGAGATAGAAGTCAGAGTAGTCGGACAAGTAAACAAAAGGATGAACAAGATGGAAAAAGCAAGAGAAGATGGGATGTGTCAGATAGCACGAGACCTAGTATCGGGGAAGTGATGGACGAAGATTATAAATCAGAGAGGAGGAGTGGAAAATCTCGTGATAGTAAAGTTGGTTCTACTAGAGAGAAAAACATAGATACAAGAAGTGAGGCAAGTGAGTATTCTTCTAAAGGAAGGAGGGTTTCTGATTCTTATCATGGTAAAGGAGATGAAGGGAAATCAGCGAGGTCTAATGAGAGGGAGGATAAGAGAAATGACGAAGGAGAGAGAAGGGGTAAGTCCAGAGGGAGGTCTGAAGATGATGGGGGAAGGTCATTCGGTGGGGGCCGGGATGATAAGTTAGATGGTTTGAGGGATGACAAGCAAAAGCATTCTAGAGAGAGAATCGAGGATAGAGACAATTGGGACAAGTCCAGCTCTCAAAGACAAACCCATAAGGGCCATGACGAGAGAAGTGATAGGAACCGGAGTTTTCGTGATGCTTCATATGCTGGTCGAGATGATACTGAAAATAAAGAGAGACATGGAAAACCGGATGACCATGAACATGGAGAGAGATCACGTGCTAGAGAGAAAAGAGATTCAGGTTGGGATGATGGTGGCTCAAGGAGTGGAAGGGGGGCTAGGCATACAAGAAGGTCTTGGAGCCCTGAGGCTAGAAAGAGAAGTCGTAGGAACTCCGAAGAGTATGAGAGAGAGTTTTCGGATGATAGAGCTGACTCTGACACTGGAAGAAGCATGAGTCTCAAGGGAAAAGAGAGAGAGAGAGATAATCTCAGGGATGAGAGACCCAAGGACCGGGATTCGGATTGGGGTGAGAGGAATCATGATTGGGAAGACTCAAAGGACAATTGGAAGAAGCGCCATCACGAAAGGCACGAGAAAGAGGGAAAAGATGGTGATGGGGACTTTGATTATGATCGAGATTTCGATTTGCATAGGCGTGATCGCGATAGGATGGAGAGAGAGAAGTTGCACAGAGGATCAGGAGAGAGAGCCAATCGAGGCAGGATGGAGGGCTCGAAAAGCTTTGCCACCACTAGTGATGGTTCAGATAGAACAGGGAGCCAAGTAAATTCTCTTGATTATGGGAGGACTGATAACAACTCCTCTTTCATGGGGTGGAAAAATGATACAGGTACCCATCAAGATTTTGCTATGGGCACACCTGAAAGAAATTGGGGTTTCAATTCATTAGATGAAAAGGCAAGAATGGGGGATGCATATGGCTCAGGGTTTGATATGCAGGACCGATATGATGATGATGGTCCTCCAGGGCTTGATCAAAACTTAGCGTTGAACTCAGGGAGGATGATTTCAGATGTTGCAAGTGATTCTGGGGCTGTAGGAAGAGGTCGAGGGCAAAAGGCCAGTCTAAGCAACATGAACCGTGTAAACCAATCAGGAAACATGCCCCAATCTCCATTTGCGAATACCCCTGGCACCAACTCCTTTGCAAGAGTAGGGCAAGGGGGTAAAGGTGGGAGACCAGGAAGGCCAGGAAGAGGAAGGATCACTGCAAGAGATGGGCAAAGAGGCGGAATTCCTCTTCCACTAATGAGTCCAAGTCCAGGACCTGGGGTCCCCCCTTTTGCTCATATAGCTATGCCTCCTGCTCCTATGCAAACACTTGGTCCAAACATGTCACCTAGCCCTGGGCCCCCACTTGGTCCAGGTGCTTTTATGCCTCCTTATGGAGGCCATATGGTTTGGACAGGACCTCGACCCGAGCTTAATATGCTTGCAGTGCCCCCTGGTTTGGCACCTATTCCTCCACCTGGACCAACTGGCCCTAGGTTTGTTCCTAATATGGGGCCTGGTCCAAATCAAGCTATATATTTTGGTCAACCTGGCATAGGTCGAGGGATCCCTCCCAATATGCCTGGTCCTGGTTTTGGTGGAAATAACTCAATGGGAAGAGGGATGCCTGGTGAAAAAGGCAATATGGGTAGGGGTCCTCCAAGAATTACGGGACCTCCTGGTAAAGCACCTTCTAGAGGGGAACAAAATGACTATTCTCAGAATTTTGTTGATACTGGTATGAGGCCCCAGAATTTCATCAGGGAGTTGGAGCTCACGAGTGTGGTTGAAGACTATCCCAAATTGAGAGAGCTTATACAGAAGAAAGATGAGATTGTCGCTAACTCCAATTGTGCACCAATGTACTACAAGTGTGATCTTAAGGAGCATGTGCTTTCTCCTGAATTTTTTGGCACTAAATTTGATGTCATCCTTGTGGACCCTCCATGGGAGGAGTATGTTCATAGGGCACCGGGTGTTGCGGATCATATGGAGTACTGGACATTCGAGGAAATACAAAATCTTAAAATAGAGGTAACCACATATTTTCTTATGTAAAGCTGTTTCATTTTGTTTTTCTTGGATAAATGATTGGCTGTTGCAATTGACACTTTTGCGTAAAATTGATCAGTTGTTGATGTCGTTTTTCATGCTTTGAAGTTCGTTTGTTGCTTGTCCCTAAATACCCCCAATCTGCTATATTCAATATTTTCTATGAGTACAACATGAGATGAATCCATTTTTCATGGTTGATCGTTATTTATTTATTTATGTCTTTTGGTTGAGTGTGATATGTCTGAACTGCTGTTGTCTCCAAAGTCACTCTTCTGATATTATCTGAAGTTTACCCTGGTCTGGGGCAAATTTCTAAGTTTTACTGAGGGTGCTGAACATGCACCGCAATCCATGTAAAGCTGATTCTCAGGGGGTTGTCTCATTCGTTAGTTATTTCCTTGAAGTATCATTTGGATCCCATAGTTTATTTCCAAATATTTTCTTTGGTGGCTTGGTTGGCCACTCATGTTGTTAAGATTCTATTCATGTCTGTGGTAAAACTGTGGGTGGCTGACTAAAAAATTCTCCCTTTATGTATTTCCGTCCCTGTTTTGGGGTTAGGAAGAAAAAACACTTGGAGAGTATGATTGCCCAAAATAGCCCCCTTTACCTTTTTCTCATCATTTTCTTTCAACCAGTGTTTAAAAAAGTTTTCTCAAAAAAAAAACCAGTGTTTTAAAAAGTGGTGAGTCTGACTCGAACTCACCGGAGTCATTCGGAACTGGCAACCTGCTGGTTCTAGATCACCCTGTTTCGGATTACAGAGTCTTGTCGGTCCTATAAAAAAGAAAAGAAAAAGTCATTCTGGTTCGAGTCTTGGCCAGTTAGAGTCAGGACTTGGCAAGCCGACTTGACCCAGCTCCTGCCTGATTCTGTGTTCGTAAACAGTGCTTGCAACCCCACCTGACTTTAATATCACAGTTACTGCATGGGACTGATGAAAATGCTATCCTATGAGGTGCATAGTCCTGATTTAGAGTTGCATTACTGCTCTTTCTATTTTTTTTAATTATTGTTTTTGAATCTGTTAACTTTTTGCTCTTTTTAATTTTGGAAGCTTGTCCTCAAATATGGGGCATGTGACTGGAGAAATAGTAGTTTGTGATAAGGAAATAAATTCATTGTGTATTAAACATTTATAATATTCACAACCAAGAGTTATTATACTTCTATGAACAAATTGAACTTTTTAACATTTGTGCACTACACTTTTTTAATGTTTATGAACCTGTGTAGTTTAAGTAGTTCTGCTCCATGCTTCTTAGTTTTTCTACTAGTTGCCCACTTTGGAATCTTTTGGCAATATCCAGTTTATGCTGATTCAAATGAATGTTATCAACTCCATGTAAAATTTGAATAACATGATTTTCTTCTTGAAAAAGAAGCTTAAAATGTATTTGGTTTGTAGATTAACTTCAAAGAGTTTGGTGTTGAAGTGCCACTGCTATATTAGTCACTCAACAAAACTATTGATAGGACCAACTCATACAGAATACCTAGAGTGCTAGTATCTTTTAATTTTTATTTTTATAGATGACTGAATTTAATCAATATCAAAATTAATGTGCACGTTAGTTTATTTCTTTTCTGTACAAAACTGAGTTTATATGCACCAGACTCTACAGTTCACCTCATAAAATTTAAGTCATCTTCTAAGTCAACTTCTAGAAATTAATGACTATTATCAGATTCGGATTTTCCTTCCCTTGCCGTTGCATCCGTTTCTCTGTCTCTGTCCGTCTCTCTCTTTCTCTCTCTGTCTCTCACTCAGTTAATGAAGACGTATAGCCCTTAACTTAGTCCTGTGGTCAAAAATTTCTGCAACCACAATGTTTAATTTCCGACTACCCCAGGTTATGGCATTGAAGGAATCCTGTCCTTTGCGGATTTCTTCCCTTCCATCTCCAAAACTCCTAGGCCAGGGAGAATGATGTGATCTGTACCTAATTTAAACTACAGCCATGGAGCAGAGAAGGGCAGATAATTAAGATCTTGCCTTGGTGGTTCCTCAATAACCCACCTATTCCAGGGGGACCCTTGGTTTCCCCAGTAGCTGCCTGTGAAGTTTAATTTCAGAAAAGCCTCAAGGGGATACCACTTCTGCAGTCGAATTCTTTCTCAATTCTATTCTGCTTGTCATTTCAATTGGTTCTGAAATCCACAATGTCATCCCCAAAGTTCTTTTTATGGCTTAGTCCATGATGTGACTGGAGTTTTAATTTGTTGCTTCATGCTTTCCACCCCTTTTCTTCTGTAACAAAAGCATGTGATATTCCATTCTAACCATAGAGCCGTTCTACAGCCAACATTGTTGGTCTCCATGAGAAGAGCCCCACTTTGGCAATGGAGGGGAAAAACATTGGAAAAGTAAGGATTCTACTGCGGCTGGTGGAACCCATGTGAAGTCAACAAGATTTAGAGGAAAATACCAAACACTTCTAGCAAAGAGCAGTACAGAAACAGATGACTTACTATTTCCTCATCTCCCTAGCCTTAGCACACATATATCTGCAAAGCAGTACAGGAATAGATGACTTACTGTTTCCTCATCTTCCTTGCATAGCATACATATATCTGGAAGTGTTATGCTCCTCTTTATGAGATCTGCCCTGCTAAAACCCTGTCCAGAACTGCCAGCCACCCAAATGCTTGCATCTTTTGGGGGGCCTGGGATAGACTAACACCCCAGCAACAACTGAAATCTCCTCGCTGGTTAGAGTTACAAGGAAACACTGAGAAAGCACCCCTACTATCTGGAATCCAAATCAATTAATCCTCTTTTCTTGATGAGTAGAAAGCCCATGATATACATTGAGCGCTACTGTAATATCTGTTCATTGAAAATAATATTGGCACTATATGATGTTGAATATTCAGAAGCAGCCCTTGACATCTGTACTTGGTGATGTGTTTAATTTACCATTAGTAGCATACTCTCTCAAACTATAGGAAATTGGCAATGATATGAGATATTTTCTGACATCTGAGAGTGCTCAACCATGTATTGTATTGTATTGTGGTTTTGCTTGACTAACATTGGACTTCAACGGAAACTTCAACCTTGAACTGGCATCAAATTTTCCTATACAACATTATTATCATCTGTAAGTCATTTGGGGTTAATTGCTTTATCCTGATGTTGCGTAATATTTTGCTCAATGTTGCTTTAGTTTCTCCTTGTTTGAAACCATGTCAATTTTTTGTAAAAATAAATCATGTGATCATTCATTCCATTAACATACTCCACCTTTTTATGCTGCCCTTAGCTATGTGTTGCACATAATGACAATTTGTCAATTTATTAACTTGGTACCCTAATTGATACACTTGGGAAGCATGCGATTCTACTTTTTCCATGCTTGACTCTTTGGTTATCAGTTATGCTCACAGTTGTTTAGAAACTGTGGTTCATCATGCTGAGTCTCACCTTCACTGTTTATCTATCATTGTAGTCTTGTTGGTTGAAACTATAGTGAGAATTCATATGCTGAAATTATTAAAAAGAACACATATATTGCATCTGCTTGTAACTGATTTTTGACACAAGTTTGCAGAGTTTATAATTTAGTTGTCTTTGTCATCCAGGCTATTGCTGACACTCCATCATTTATTTTCTTATGGGTTGGTGATGGTGTTGGTCTTGAGCAAGGTCGTCTTTGCCTGAAAAAGGTATGTTTCCTAATCTCATACTTGCCTTAAAAAAATAATTTCTATCACTTGTTGTGTGAGGTGGGGTGCAATATCATTCACCATATATATATATATATAGATATTATGCCACATGAGCAGACTGTATATATGATGAAATAATGATTTTATTATTAAATAATGATTTTGTTTATGCCATAAAATAATGATTGTCCGTTCTCTAAGTCCAAGAAGATGGGGATGGCTGGACGAATAAACTGTATATGGAAAATGCGTGTTATTCTTATGTACTTCTAGTTTTTTGCTGGCCTCACCAAATGTTTTCCTTATTGAACCTACCACTCCAGCCGGGTTATTTATTTATTTAATCATTATTTTGAGCTGGTGCCTGGCTGGGGTTCCAGTAGAATATTCATTGAAATCAGGATTGATTTTCTATTAGGTCACCTCAACATCTGTGGATGCTGAAAGTCCCTTTGTTGGGCTGAAGATTTTTATATTTCCTCTTTGTTCCCATACTAGTGGATCCTTTGAATGTATATTGCTGGGCTAGATGGGGCTGCCCCTCGTCTTTGTAGACTTCTAAAAGTTTTCTGGTTTTAGTCATGGATATTTCTTGTACCTTGGATATCTCATGTCAAACTCAAGCTTTAAAACTCTCATTCAGCCTGATTCCCTACCCAGTTGGCTTTTAAGCCTTCTCTTACAAATTTTTTCAAGTGTTTTCCAAATGCTTTGGTAAAGACTTGATGATCGTTTATTAGAGACTCTATTTTGGTACCTTGAGCTTGCTTCTTTGAGAATTGGGGGCTGCATTAGCTGAGTGGACTCTAGCATATTGCAAGTCATTAATACTAGATGGGTATTAGCTAACTGCTTTTCCTTTTTCCCAAATCTTTACAATACTAGTTGACATCTTATAGTTTCTTTCTTGTTTGAAGATATCTAGATATTTTAATATTGGATAATATTGTAGGTCATAAATGGTCTTCTTGGTTATCATTTCATCCTTCAAAATTGTGGAATTGTTTTCTTTTCGCTCTCATGATCAATCAAATGAGTTACCATGTTGCTATTAAGTTTGTAGATAGCGGTGCCAACTGCCAGGCAGGCCTGCAGACCTCGTAACCAGCATTTGTGCCAGGCTCATGCCACACTCATGAGGTCTGCGGGCTGGCTTCACAAGGCCAAACCAATGAAAAAGACACACACACACATGTGATGTACATTTATTATATGCACATATGCAGTATACATCCATGTAATGTATAAAATATGCAATTATATACTCACAGTCACACACAGGCCTCAATGACATATTTTGGTCCCGGCCCAGGCACAAGTTTTGGCTTAGTTTTGGGCCTGGTCCCAGCCAAACAAATTTGGACTGGGCTAGTCTGGGGCTTTCCTGGCCTGTTGGCATCCTTATTTGTGGACCTTCTTTATAGTATAAACATATCTGTTATAGCTGCTATGTGTGTGTTCGCGGGCACACATACTCGTGTGCCTATGCGTTTTTTTTTTGTTTTTTTTGGGTGAGTCAGTGGGGAGAGGGCCCCTACCCTTGGTAGGAATTGAGCCGAGGATATAGCATTGCAAATCATCAAGCGCTAACCAATTAAGCCCGGGCTCTTTTCCTGTCTGTGTTTGTGTTTGATGCTAGATGAATGCACATGATAAATTTAATTTCATTGTGTATTATTTAATGCAGTGGGGATTTCGGAGGTGTGAGGATATATGTTGGGTGAAGACAAATAAGGGAAACGCAACGCCATCATTGCGACATGACTCACACACTTTGTTTCAGCATTCAAAGGTTTGTCTGTTCTCTATCTCTTCAATTCCACCCTATCAATTTGATGCACTTATTCTAATTTAAGCTTGACACTTGAGTTTGTTTTATGTGGCAGGAACACTGCCTGATGGGCATAAAGGGTACAGTACGGCGTAGCACTGATGGGCATATCATCCATGCTAACATTGACACTGACATTATTATTGCTGAAGAGCCTCCTTATGGTTTGTAGATCAAAGGCTGATTTCTTCCCCTGTAGACTATTATCAAGTATTAACCACATTTTGTGTGTGTGTGGAAAATACTTACAAACACTTATGAGCGAATTTCTGCAGTATTGCACTAATGGCTCATCACCATCTAAAGTCCATCATACGGTCACAATTGTCTGATAGTTTTTGAATTGTAATAATTTTTCTACAAATCAAATTCATCTGAGCTCTTGAACATCTTGACCAACTCACACTTAAATAAAATTTTAAAATAATTCTCAAAAAATAAAATAACAAAAATACCCATGAAATATTCATAGGGGTGATTTCGTTATTTTTATTATATGGATTTTTTTATATTTTATACTCACTAAGGCTCTCACACCCACAAAATTTCAGGCTAATATGATATGTAGAAAAATTACTAATTCAAATGCCGTCAGACAATCACGATTCTGATAATCACGATTGTCTGATGGACTTTGGATGGTGAGGAGCCATAATTGAAATACTGTGGAAATTCGCTTATGAGTGTATGTAAGTGTTTATATATATATATATAGGGATAGATTGTCTACAATGAGACTATTTATCTTTTGTACATAGATGTCACAATCATTTTTGTCCCTTAAATTTCAAAATAGGTGGCGGTCAGACTGTCATTGAATAGAAAGAAAGTTCCAAAATTCTCGGGCTTTGTGACTCACCTCAAGCCATCCAATTTAACATCTAATTAGTGGGAATGATTGTGACCTCTATGTACAAAAGAAAAATGGCTTTTTTGTAGACAATCTTTGTAGACAATTCCATGTATATATATGTGAGCATTGAGTGAAATACTTGGAAATTCGCAGTGTTTTTTAGTTTTCTACACGCACGCACGCACGCACGCACACTCACACACACACAGAGGGATTTTTATAAAAAGACCTTTTATTTTTTACAAAGTCACAATCTTGTCTCTTAAATTTCAAAATGGGTGGTTGTAAGAGTGTTGTTGAATAGGCACAAAGTTCCAAAAAAAATTATCGGACTTTGTGACTGATCCAAACCATCCAATTTGGCATCTAATGAGTGAGAATGATTGTGACTTCCTGTACAAAAGATAAAAGGTNACTTATAGATAATCCACATATAGTCTGGGAGCAAGGCA